TAATTGGCACATCTATGGGCTAGGGGCTTAGGACTGGAGCACATCCTGCGATCTAAAAGTTTTTCTACTGGTAGGTCAGGAGGCTATCTGGTTCCCAATCTTCTCTAGGAAAGGGGGTAGGGGTAGATGTTGGCGCAACTGCTCGTGGGTTCCAACTTCTGGTCACATACTCTGTGGTCAGAGAACTCTCTTTTTCACAGCCTAAATATGTCTTTTAATTAATTTTTTTTCATCACATAAGTCACATGTGTGCAGTGCCAGTATGGTCCAGAAGAGGGCATCGTATCCCCTGGAACCGGAGTTAAATTGTGAGCCATCAAATGGATGCTGAGAAATGAACCCTGGTCCTCTACAAGAACCGGAAGTGCTCTTAACTGCTGAGCCATCTTTCCAATCCCTTAAATAATTTTTATTTATTTATTTATTTATTTTTGGTTTTTTTAAGACAGGGTTTTGGAGCCTGTCCTGGAACTCGCTTGGTAGACCAGACTTGGTCTCGAACTCACGGAGATCCACCTGCCTCTGCCTCCCAAGTGCTGGGATTAAAGGCGTGCGCCACCACCACCTGGCAATAATCTTTATTTTAATTATATTTATTGATTTGTTGGTTTTTGGTTTTTCAAGACAGGGTTTCTCTGTGTAGCTCTGGCTGTCATGGAACTCACTCTGGAGACCAGGCTGGCCTGGAACTCACAGAGATTCATCTGCCTCTGCCTCCCTAGTGTTGGGCTTAAAAGGGTATGCCACTACCTCCAACCTAACTAATTTTTAAAATCAATTTTTCTCCTGTTCCTTGTGTTTTGCTAATACAGTTTAAACTGAAAAAAACTCTGAAATCCAAAACGCTCTAAAATCTGAAAGATTTTGAGTGACAGCATGATCTCACTAGTACGAAACAGTACTTTCATGGTTTGGATTTGAAATTTCTCCCAAAGGCTTGCATGCCTGTTGTATAACAAAACTCTTCCTGGAGAGATACAGCACACATATCTACTCATCCCGGTAAAGGAACCCATGACACACCAAAGTATGGATATCACCAAAGCCCAATTTGGAGAACCAATGAGTTTTATTGTTTTTACTTACAGGAATATGTGTCAGGGGTTACTTACAGGAGCACAAATGACTCAAAGACAGCTGCATTACCAAAGCCCGCCCCAGCATGAGTGACAGCTCACAAAAACTGGAACCTGGAGCACTGCATAGCCTGCAGGCAGTTCAACAATTGAGAGAGTGGCCTTTCATGGCCCTTCAAATGGTCTAAACCTCTGCCAGGAGCTCAGCTGGTGTCCGCTTCTTTCAGGCAACTTGTTCAGGTCTCAGACAGAGTCTTTCTCCCGTGCAACTCAGCTTTTGTTCATCCAAGAGGGACTCTCACCTTTTATGGTTTACTCTGGCAACGAGGGACTAGTGAATCTGGTCAGTTCCAGCGACTTCCTGAAGCTATTTTGAATTGTTTACCTTCCACTTAAGGAGCTTCCCTATAGAAGGAATGTTTCAGTCTCAGAGGAAACTGTTAACACAGCATCACCAAGGCCAAGACTATAAGCCTGCAATACTGTTGGGAGATGGAGGAGGTCTTAGGAGGTGGGGCCAACAAGAAGGCTTGTGGTCACTAGCTGAGCATCCCTAAAGGTCTGTTGGAACCATCCTCTCTGCTTTCCTGCCCCTGAACGGACTTGTTCTTCCATGTGCTCTCAACATGCTACACTGTGCAACCAACGGTCCCAGAGGCTATGACTAAAGCCTCTAAGGCCATGAACTGGAACAACCTTTCCCCCCTTTGACCTATTGTCTTGGGGCTAGAGAGGGGGCTCAGTTGGTAGAGTGCTAACCTAGCATGCATGAAGCCCCAAGTCTGATCCCCAGGCTGCATAGGCCAGGGGTTGTGGTGATGCATACCTGTTATCTGGACACTTGGGAGACTGAGGCAGGAGATTGCTCTGATTCTAACAAAGGATGAGTGGATTACTGAGTGAGATCCTGTTTTAAGAAAAAAAAATCAAATAAGGACTGAAGCAATGTCTCAGTAGAACTTGGTTTGATCCCAGGATCCATAAGAAGGTTCACAACCCATGTAACTTTAGTCCCTGGGGATCTGACCCCCTTTTCTGGCACTGTGTACGCATGATGGACAGACATATATGCAAACAAAATACCACACACATTAATTAAATTACCTCAGGCTATATTTATAAAGTATGTATAAAATTTCTTATTTAGACTTGGGTCCTCTAAGATAACTTCATTATATATATGTAAATGTCTTTTTTTAAAAAAAGATTTTATTAAGTGTACAGTTTTCTGCCTGAATGTATGCCTACAGGCCAGAAGAGGGCACCAGATCTCATTGTAGATGGTAGTGAGCCACCATGTAGTTGCTGGGAATTGAACTCAGGACCACAGGAAGAGCACCCAGGGCTCTAGTGCTCTTAACCTCTGAGCCATCTCTCCAGCCCTGTATATGTAAATGTCTATGAATTGAAAAAGAATCTGATACAGGGCTGGAGGAAGGACTCAGTGCTTGAGAGCACTTGTTGCTTTTGCAGAGGACCTGGGTTCAGTACCTAGGTGGCTTACAACCATCCCTAACTCTGGCTCCAGGTGATCCAATGCCCTCTTCTGACCTCAGAGGGTATGAGACAAATATATGGTGCACATACATACATGCAGATAAGACATAAAACAAAAATTTCACAAAATACAAAACAATAAAATCTGATATACTTCTGGTCCTGTTCTGAGTTTCTTTTTTGGTTGGTTGGTTTGGGCTCCTATGTGTATTTGAGGCAAGGACTTATTCTGTAGCCCAAGCTGACCCACAACTATGTAGCCCTGTCTGGTCTTGAACTTGAAACAATCCTGCCTCAGATTCCCAAGTGCTAGCTGGGATTACAGGTACAAACCAGGAACACATGGTTGTGTGCTGTACCCATTCTCTGTAGCACTCTTTACCAATGACCATTTTTCCTGGCTCTCGCTCTAATCTCAGCTGCCATCTGCTACTGAACTGGTAGGTAGTGAACGAACTCCAGCCTACTCGCCTGGCTCTGGCTGGCCGTGCTCTTCTTCCCCATTTCCTCTGCCTTGCTAAAAACCTTTAGATTACATTCCTGAAGCTATTCCCTTATCTGGCCTCTTCCTCCTCCTGACTACCAAGGTTCAGATATCCAAGTGTTAAAGTCCAGAAATCAAAAGCCCCCTTTGGCTCACCTAATTAACATGCCCAATGCCCAATTAAAGATTTAATACCTCATCCTAACACGAGGGTTCCCATTTTACTTTATAAACCCTATTTCTTATGTGTCAGGTTTGTCTTCTCTCTATCCAGAGGCATTCCTGTGTCCCTCAGTGACAAATACCCCTGCCCCTTTCCTTTGTCCCCTTCCCCTTCTCCCTCATCCTCTATCTCCTATACCACTACATCCTAGCCCATTTTTTATTTTTTATGTGCATTGGTGTTTTGTTTTGCCTGGGGAAGGACATTGGGTTGCTGTGTTGGTGATGGGAATTGAACCTGGGTCCTGTGTAGAGCAGCCAGTGTTCTTTTTTTTTTTTTTTTTTTGGTTTTTACAAGACAGGGTTTCTCTGTATTGTTTTGGAGGCTGTCGGTCCAGCCCGGCCTCGAACTCACAGAGATCCGCCTACCTCTGCCTCCCAAGTGCTGGGATTAAAGGCGTGCACCACCACCGCCCGGCTGCAGCCAGTGTTCTTAACTACTGAGTCATATCTCCAGCCCATCCTAACCCATTCTAACACATCCAGCTCCCCCTTTCTCCTCTTAAAGATCACACCTGCAAGATCATTTGCTGCTGTTTTTCTGGCCAAGTCAGAAAGCAGCCACTTTAACTTTTCTTCACAGATTAATAATCTCTCAGAAAACAGGTGACTGGATGTGATTTGTGTCTAATCTGGGGCCCAGGGGGAAGCCCCAGCTGTGAGGGGTGGGGCGGGGGTCTCCTTCAGGTGAATGACTTTTGGAGTGCTTGTGTGTAGGTAGAGGCTCTGGTCTCATGACCTCTGCTTTCTGAGCTCACCCCCCATTATGGGCTTTTCTACAAGTGTATTTGGTCTCTAGAGAAGAGCCTCCCAAAGAGTCAAACACACTTGCCCCTTGTTGTAACTGAGACTCCCACATGAGTCTTTTAGGTGTCTTATCAGCTTTTCCACCACCACCAGTTTAGTGAGTTGTTTGCTGCTGGGTGTGGTGACATACCTCTTTAAGCCCAGCATGCATAGTGAGACCCTTACCTCAAAAATGAACTATTGTAGTACTGGAATTTAAACATAGGACCTTCCATATCAGACAAGTGCTTTAACACTCAGCCCCTTTCCTGCCACACACACATGCACCATACACTCCTATGCCATATATATGTAATGCGCACACACATACATACATACATGACACACACACACACACGTATGCACACGTTATGTATGTGTGAGACTATGCGGCCCCAGTGTTTTTTTGTTTTGTTTTTTTGTTTTGGTTCATTTTTGTTTTTTGAGATAGGGTTTCTCTTTTTTTCTCTGGCTGTCCTAGAACGCTCTCTGTAGATCAGGTTCACCTGGAACTCTGATCAACCTGACTCTGCCTGCTGAGTGCTGAGTGCTGGGATTAAAGGCTCCCAATGCATTTTTTGTTTTAAATGCTAGGCCAACTAGATGCCCTTAGTTCACGTAGTAGAAAATCGGATCCTAATAGAGACATTAATGGAAAACAAAACGAAGTGAACCACGCCAACAAATGCGGGGGGGGGGGGGGGGGGGCAGGAAGAGAAGCAGGACCCAAGATTTCAAGAAACTGCTTTAGGGCCCTGGATCAAGAAAAAGTCAAGCGTAACCCGCTAGTCTGCCCACCTCTCCTCAATCCGACAGTCACAGGCTCTCTTGCCTCCTGCACCCGAATATCTGGGCCACACACAGCACCACCCAAAGAGCAGAAGGCTGGCCGCTAGCAACCGGCCACCGGGAACACAGGGGCCAGGCGAGGTGAGACGCGCACGCGCAGCTCGGCTTTATGCATTGCTTTATGCATGGCTTTATTGCGACATCACGCGCGACTCCAGAGCGCGCGGCTGGATCACAAGCACGCTCGGGCCCTCGTGCTTGCGCATCTTCCTCTGCCAGACGCGCGCCGCAGCCGCAGGGTCTACATCCGCGTCCACCTTCTTCTCCAGCAGGTGCAGGCGCGCGGTGGTCTCGGTCAGCATGTCCATGAGCAGTTCTTGCTGCAGCTTCAGGTAGTTGTTCTCCTCCAGCAGCACCTCCTGGTTCTTGATCGGCTGCGCTGGTGACTTCCAGGTCCGGCCTGTGGGTGAGGGCAGCGGCGACCGCCGGCGTGCGTGCTGCCTCTCCGCGGTCCAGCGACCGCCGTGGAACACGAAGGCCTCATCGCTCAGTCGGGTGCGCGGAGAGCCGTAGTTCAGCCCCAGCTCGGCCTGGCGCGTACGGTGGTCCAGCAGGTAGAAAGTGGACATGGATGCGATGCGCCGCAGCGGCGGCCTCCGCGGCGAGAAGCGACGCGAGAAGTGGTCGGCCCAGAACTGCCGCAGCTGCTCCCACAGGTGGCCCGCGTGGCTCGCGGACAGGCACTCGAAGGCCTCCAGGGTGAAGCGTGGGTGGGCCACACGGGGCGCACGGGTGTCCGGAGCCCTGCTGTCCTGGAATGATGTAGGCGAGCCAGTGGCACTGCTGAGAAGCAAATGGCCAGTGAGCTGCCTGCCAGGACAGACTGTACCCACCACCCAGGGTGTCCCGGGCTCTGCAGTTTCAGGCCACTGTGGGAGCCCATTCCTACAAATTCATACCAGTCTGGTTCACTAAACTCAACTCCCCAAGGACCCTTCATTTGTAGATGTGTAAGAGATAATGTAGGAAGCCGGTGGTGGTGGCACATGCCTTTAATCCCAGCACTCGGGAGGCAGAGGCAGGCAGATCTCTGTGAGTTCGAGACCAGCCTGGTCTACAAGAGTTAGTTCCAGGACAGTCTCCAAAGTCACAGAGAAACCCTGTCTCGAAAAACCAACAGAGAGAGAGAGAGAGAGAGAGAGAGAGAGAGAGAGAGAGAGAGAGAGAGAGAGAGAGAGAGAGAGAGAGAGAGAGAGAGAGAGAGAGAGAGAGAGAGAGAGAGAGAGGGAGGGAGGGAGGGAGGGAGGGAGGGAGGGAGGGAGGGAGAGAGGGAGAGAGGGAGAGAGGGAGAGAGGGAGAGAGGGAGGAGAGCCCTGGAAGGGAACCACACTGGAGGAAGGGGGTGATCAGTCAGTAGCTGAGCAAGTAGGTCAGGCCTTTGCTGGTAGGAGTGTCACGGAGAGCTGTGAGGCAGTGTGACAGTGGGGCAAGGCTGTCATGTTCCAGATGTGCGGAAGAGCCTGGGGTTGGGGTTGGCTCTGAGAATAGCCGTAAAGTAGGCTAGAAAGATGAACTATGGCATCTTGAGGTGTAGTGCAGGCAAGCTGGACAGTTGAGACATCACTCTTTAGAGGAGGCTGCTGAAGGTTGCAAAGCCAAAATTAGTATGGATTCCACAGAGTGTCGTCTGGCATAACCCCATCTTTTGGTTATGTGATGTTCTTACACTGGCACCTGCTCCTTGCCTGGTCTGGTGTGCACAGAGGGTACCATCAGCACAGCCTTCTTCTACCCCTCAAGATACTCCTGGTCCAGCTGGAAAGACTTGTGTATTAAAGTCCAGTGGGGTCAGTGACGTCCTAGACCTATGCCTATCTTTAAAATGACTGGGATTCTGAACAGTAGAGTTGACTTGTTCCTAGCCGACTACTACCTCAAGGATTCTAAAACCCAGATTCCCGTTCTACCTGCTTCTTAACTCTTTTCCCAACACCTACAAAGTGCTGACTCCATGGTGTGTTGTTTTAAATACCTCTCCTGCCCATGGTGGGAGTAAAGAGAAACAGAGGCAGGATTCCCTCTGCCACTCCTTAAGTCAACCTTCTGCATTTGGGCAGAGGCAAGCTGATCCCCACCCTCATCTAGGTCATGGAAATTGTCTCTGGAAGCCCCACACAAGGTCACAACTCCTCAGAAGACTGCTCCCTGACATTCCTTGCAAGTTGTTCCTCACCTGGAAGATGTGGTGGTGCCCAAGCTGCTGTCTCAGGGCTGGCCCCATTTCTGGACCACTAAACCCCACTTGTCTGCCAGCTATGACTCACAATGCCTCCTTGCCAGGCCTTCTAGGGTAGAAGAGGTGCTGGCAGGAAAGCTTTGGGACAGTGTGTTCAGTTAAGAGAAGTTGCTGAGCATTTACTATGTCCCAGGTACCGTTCTAGGGAAGTGAAGGTATTTTATCATTGTAACAGCATTCCTTGTTTTGTTTAGGCCTTTGTTGTTTTGATTTGGGATCTTTTAAGACAATCTTACTGTGTAGCTCTAGCTACATGATATTACTGTGTAGCCCAGGCTAACAAGAATCTTCCAAGGGGTGGTGGTTGCTCATGACTTTAATCCCAGCACACTGGAGGCAGAAGCAGGATGATCTTTAAATTCAAGGCCAGCCTGGTCTACAGAATGAGTTTGAGGACAGCCAGGACTACACAGAGAAACCCTGTCTCAAACATCAGCAACAACAAAAGAATTCACATTCTGCCTTCTAGCCAGATTATAGGCATAAGCCACCACGCCCAGTTTTTTTGTTTGTTTGTTTGTTTTGTATGTGGGGTAAGTGTGTGGGCAGTGTGATGACCTGTGGCCAAGGTTAACATCTAATGTCTTCCTTGATCACCCTCCACCTTATTTATTGAGTTTAGATTTTTTTGCGTCTGTTTTTTGTTTTTGTTCGTTTTTTTCTTTCTTTTTTTTTTTTGTTTTGGTTTTACGAGACAAGGTTTCTCTGAATTGTTTTGGAGGCTGTCGGTCCAGCCCGGCCTCGAACTCACAGAGATCCGCCTGCCTCTGCCTCCCGAGTGCTGGGATTAAAGGTGTGCGCCACCACCGCCTGGCTTGTTCGTTTTTTTTTTTTTACAGATTTATTTATTATGTATACAGTGTTATGTATGCCTACAGGCTAGAAGAGAGCACCAGATCTCATTACAGTTGTGAGCCACCACGTGGTTGCTGGGAATTGAACTCAGGACCTTTGAAAGAGCAGGCAGTGCTCTTAAGCACTGAGCCATCTCTCCAGCCCCCTTGTTTTTTGTTTTTATTTTATTTTATTTATTTATTTATTTTAATTTTTTTTGGTTTTTTTCGAGACAGGGTTTCTCTGTATTGTTTTGGAGGCTGTCCTGGAACTCACTCTGTAGACCAGGCTGGTCTCAAACTCACAGAGATCTGCCTGCCTCTGCCTCCCGAGTGCTGGGATTAAAGGCGTGCGCCACCACTGCCCAGCTTTTTTATTTAGGGTTTTTTTTTTATAGATCAAAACTTTTCTTTATTTTGTTAGAAACCAAAATAAATCCAAGCAGATAATGAAATAAACGTAGTCCTCAAAGTAGCCATGTTCGTTTCCCTCCTAGAATTTAGTACACAGCCCATGCACAGCCTATGTTTAAGGTCTTGTAACATTTCTGGGTGCCATGACGTTTCCATCTTGTAACCATGCTTCTCTAGCTCAGCATGTAACTGATTGGAGAAGTCATCTTCTACATTGTCATCATCCCAGTTATCTCCCAGACATGTTCATCTTCATCTAAGCCGGCCCAGTCTTCCTCGGGAAACTCCTCGAACTTGTCATCCTCTTCAAGGAGACCCAGGTGGATGGGCTGCTGCTTCTCGGACATCGAACCTCACCTAGCCCCACCGCACTCAGGTCCGCCGCAAAGTTGGAAGCCTTATTTAGGGTTTTAAGGAAAAGTTCTCTGGCTGTCCTGAACTAGTCATGTAGACTAGGTTGGCCTTAAACTCACAGAGATATACTTGCTTTTGCCTCAGAGTTCTGGGCCCAAAGGTGTGCACCAACATGCCTGGTCTTCCACCTCATTTTTTAAAGGCAGAGTATCTCATTGAACCTGGATTCAAAGTGTGCTCCACCACTGCCTGGCTGACAAGGAGACTTATTAATTATGAAAGCTTGGCCTTAGTTTAAGCTTGTCCCACTAGCTCTTGTATGATGCTGTAACCATAAACAGCACACTTACTGAAAGTAAAACTAAGTATTTATTGTAGAAATTACTCACAAGATATCAAACAAATAACCCAGATGAGCCCAGTAGTTCCCCCCCCAAAGTGGGTGTGGTTAGCGGTGTGGTAAACCGCTCTTTTATTACCTCATCTGGATGTGCCTCTAGTAAGTCACATGGTTAATGGTGGCATTGTTTTCCTCCTACACTTGTAGCTTAAATAAACCTGCTTTTATTGATCTGTGTTTTACCATGTGGCCTTTTACCTTTCTTTCATTTTGTGTGTCCAACTCTCTCCATGTCTTGTTGGCGTCTCCACTACACCTCCTCTCTGCCTGGAAGTCCCACCTACGCCTCCTGCCTGGCCATTCAGCTATTTACTACACCAATCTCAGCAACACACCCTCACATACTGTACTAATATCCCGCAAGGGGTGTGGGGGGGTTTGTGTATGTGAGTGCACTGCCCAAGGAGGCCAGGCCAGAAGAGGGCATCAGATCTCTGCCTGTAGTGACAGGTAGTTGTGAGCTGACCTTTGTGCTGGAAATTGAACTTGGGTTCTCCACAAGAATAGCAGGTGCTCTTAACCTATGAGCCAACTCTCCAGTCCCAAATCCTCTTTTCTTTACAAAGCACTGTCTCAATTGTCACAACAGAAAGCAGACTGAAGAAGGACACCCAGTTGAGAAAATGCCCCCATAAAACTGGTCTGTATGCAAGTCTGTAGTCCATTTCCTTAATTACTGATTCACATGGCAATGGCCCAGCCCATTGTAGGTGATGAAGTCCCTGGACAAGTAATCTGCCCAGGGTGCTGCCATAAGAAAGCAGGCTGAGCCAAGGCCGGGCTGGACCGATAGCCTCCAAAACAATACAGAGAAACCCTGTCTCGTAAAACCAAAAAAAAAAAAAAAGAAAGCAGGCTGAGCCAAGGCCGGGCTGGACCAATAGCCTCCAAAACAATACAGAGAAACCTGTCTCGTAAAAACCAAAAAAAAAAAAAAAGAAAGAAAGAAAGCAGGCTGAGCAAGCCAGGAAGGAGCAAGCCTGTAAGCAGCATCCTCCATCCTCCATGCCCTCTGCTTTGGCTTCTGCCTCCAGGTTCCTGTCTTGACTTCCTGCTAACTGCCCCGCATAAGGAAGTGCAAGTTGTAAGATGAAATAAGCCCTTTCCTCCTCAAGCTGCTTTTACTCAGGGTGTTTTATTGCAGCAATAGTAACCATAAGACACACACTATAATAATAATAATAATTATTATTATTATTATTTGGTTTTACGAGACAGGGTTTCTCTGTATTGTTTTGGAGGCTGTCGGTCCAGCCCAGCCTCGAACTCACAGAGATCCGCCTGCCTCTGCCTCCCGAGTGCTGGGATTAAAGGCGTGCGCCACCACCGCCCAGTTTATAATAAATAATTTTTAAGCTAAGATGTGTTGGAGAGTTGTCGCAGTGGCTCAGATTATGTATTACTATTACACAGAACCTGAGTTTGTTTCTAAGCACCCACATTGACTGGGTGGCTCATACTGCCTATAGTCCTCTGGCCTCTGCTTTTTTAATTTTGTCATTAAAAATAGAAGTAAATCTTTAAAAAAAATGCAAGGGAACCAGGTGGTGGTGGTGACATAGGCCGTTAATCCTAGCAACTTGGGAGGCAGATCTGGTCTACAGAGTAAGTTCCAGGACAGTCAGGGCTACACAGAGAAGCCCTGTCTTAAAACAAAACAACAAACCCAATAGTTAAATAATAAATGCAGGGGAGCTGGGTGATGGTAGCACTCCCCTTTCAATCCCAGGACTTGGGATGCAGAGGCAGGCCCATCTCTGAGTTCAAAGCCAACCTGGTCTACAAATCAAATTCAGGACAGGCAAGAGTCAGAGCTATACAGAAAAACCCTGTCTCAAAAAATAAGTGAATGCATTGGAGCCATGCACGGTAACACACACCTTAAGGTGGACTGAGAATTCAAGGCCAGTCTACAAAGCAAATTCCAAGCCAACCAGGTTACATAGACACTGTCTTAAAAACCAAAGTAAGCAAGTAAATGGAAAATGACAGGAAAATCATTATATGGAGAAGGGTTTCTGATTATAACACATGCAGTGAAGAAAATAAACCAATACAGAGAGTGTCTTTAAGATAGGTTGAGGGGTGAGGACTAATTTAGACATGGAGTTCAGAGAGGGCACTCAATTATGCTTACCTCAGAACAATAACAATGAGACCACATTGGAGATCTGTGATCTAGGGATGGGAAGGAACATGCTATACTTGAAGGCCATGTTTGAGACAAAGGGAGGAAATAAAGCCTCCCCAAGGAACTTGTCTCTGCTTAGTCTTTCTAACCCTGGCTGAGTTCAAGGCCAGCCTGGTCTACAAGAGCTAGTTCCAGGACAGCCTCCAAAGCCACAGAAACCCTGTCTGGAACCCCCACCCCCCAAAAAAAAGACTGGGTCTCTCTATTTGCTGGCCTTGAACTCCTGGACTTGGCAGCCCTCAGGGACTGCAGAAGTTCAGTATATCAGCTCTATCCCAGTTTTATTGAGGTATAATTGACACAATAAAGTACATTTGTAATGGACAGTTTGATTTGTTTTGATAATTTATGTGACCTCATCTCCATAAAACAATATGGTAAAGGTTTACATTGCCTGCAGAAGTTATCTTTTGTCTTTACCGTGGTTAACAGTCTGTTGAATTTTATATACTAGAATTAGTCAGTATGTGCTCCTATGTAAGAGGGAAGTAGTACCTTCCTTTTTGTAGCAAATTTTAAGGTATCCATGTTGTATTGACAATTCATTTCATTTTATAGATGAATAGTGTTCCTTTGTATGAATATACCACACAATTTTTTTTCTGTTGACAGAAATTTGGGTTGTTTCTAGTTTGGAGACAAGTACACATAAAACTTAGTGAGTATATCTAACATATCTGTACAAATCAATGAATGGACCCCCCTCCAAATATCTCAAATTAATGCAAGCATAGGAATTGTAAGGTTACATGGCACATATGTTAGCCTTTTCCCAACCTACTTGTAGCATATCCTTGACACCCATGATCCCAAGTTTCAGCTCCTCTGGCCTGGCCAACGCTTGGAAAGATTAAGACTTAATTTTAATCATTGTATTCCCATGGCTGTATTGTCTAATCTGTGGTATTAATTTGCATTTTTCTAATGGCTAGTTACACATGTTTCTTAGCCATTTTGACAAAGTGGTTATTCAAGTCTCCTTCATATTTTATCTTTTTACTTTGTTTTAGCTTTTTGAGATGGGGCCTCTCAAGATAGCCCCTGCTGGCTTGGAATGTGCAATCCTCCTGCCTGAGGCTTCCTAGTGGTAGAACTATAGGTATGCAATTTCCATCTAACTCTTGCTCATTTTCTAAATTGGATTTTTTGTCTTTCTTTTAGACAGGTTGTCATACATACCAGGCTGTCCACAGGCTCACTATGTAGCCAGGGGTGTCTTAATGAATTGTAGGGTTTTTTTTGTTTGTTTATGTTTTTTAAGGGTTTCTCTGTGTAGCCCTGGTCTGGAACTCCCTCTGTAGACCAGGTTGGTCTTGAACTAATAGATCTGCCTACCTCTGCCTCTGCCTCTCCAGTGCTAGGATTAAAGGTACTAGCAACTTCCTGGTTTGAATGGATTGAATTATTTGTTTTTTTTTAATGCAAAACAAAAATTTGTCAAGCAAATTTTGCAAATATTTTCATATGATCTGTGATTTCTTTTATTGGGGGGGTGGGGTTCGAGGCAGGGTTTCTCTGTGGCTTTGGAGGCTGTCCTGAAAGCTCTTGTAGACCTGGCTGCTCTCAAACTCACAGAGATCTGCCTGTTTCTGCCTTTCTAGTGCTGGGATTAAAGGCTAAAGGTGTGCGCCGCCGCAGCCACCACCACCTGGTGATCCGTGATTCCTTGTTACTGTAAAAGTTTTAACTTGGGGCGTCTGGGGAGATAGCTCAGCAGTTAAGAGCACTGGCTGCTCTTCCAGAGGTCCTGAGTTCAATTCCCAGCAATCGCGTGGTGGCTCACAACACTCTGTAGTGAGATCTGGTGCCCTCTTCTGGTATGGATGAAAACAAAGCACTCATATACATAAAATAAACAAATGAACAAATATTTTTTTAAAAGTTTTAGTTTTGCTGGGTGTGGCGGTGGTAGCGTTCACCTTTAGCCCCAGCACTTGGGAGGCAGAGGCAGGCCGATACGCTCCAAGGCTACACAAGGAAACCCTGTCTCAAAAAACAAAACAAAAAAAGGTTTTAATTTTGATAAAGTCCAATTTGTCATTTTTTGGTTTTAGACTTAATTTTTGCATCATATTTAAAAATTCATTGTCAGTCCTAAGGAAAATAAGATTTCCCTTTTATGTTCTCTTCTGAGAAATTACAATTTTGGTTTTACATGTAAATCTGCTTCACTTCTACATAATTCTTGTTTATATTCACCCCCACCCAAATATTTTTGTTTTTCTGCATTATTCAGTACCATTTATAAGAAAGTTGAGCCAGGAGTGGTGTTACATGCCCTTGATCCCAACACTTCAAAGGCAGAGGCTGGTGGATCTCTGTGAGTTTGAGGCCAGCCTGATCTACATAGTGAATTCCAGGACAGCCAGGACTACACAGACCTGCCTCAAAACACAAAAAGC